TAAATCTAGACTCACATATGCATCAATACAAGTGATCACAGATTCATAGATTTATAAATCACAAAATAATTTATAATTTGTTGAAATTCTCAAATTAAATCTCACAAATCACAAATGACAAAATAATTTCAGCATTATGATAAATGACAATTCACAAATTATAAATATATTTCCAAATTTTAAATAATGAGACACAGTAATAGAATAAATTAAGCAAACCAAAATAGTCCAACAAGTTATGAGGTAATAGGAGGTAGATACAACCGCATTAGCAAGGAAGCAAAATTAACCTTTGGGCCGAGGCTAGCAAAGGCTGGAACTTTTGTAGAAGGCTGATCACAAGCAACAAGCTAGAACTTTTACTAAATCGCACTCAACAATGGAGGTTTTACCGAATTGCACTTAGTAGAGAAAACTTAGCAAATGGCTAAACTAGAGATGACGGAGGTTGAGTAGATTTTGAATTGTAGGACCACAGTGCAGGTTTTTGTAGGAGGTGAAGGTCAGTAGTTTTGATGATTAGATCAATTGGGTTTTCAAGGGTTGGAAATGACAATATGTAAAGAGGAAATTACATAATACCAGTTGTTTAACTATTACAATTCAAAAATCAAGGTTAAAGTTTCATTATTCACAAATCAAGTATTAACATAATAATTAACTATTAAATATTTCCATATAATTCAATTACAAACCCTATCGTTTCATTCTTCTCACTCACTCTCATCTTCTTCATCACCTTCTCATGTCCTCCTCTCTGTCCGTGAGCACTCATCGTCGCCGTCAGAGCACTCATCGTCGCCACCACCTAAATAACACCACGATGTTCTTATCGGAACCTTTGCAAGTGAAAGAGCAACAACAGTGAGTACACAAAGCGATGGCTAAAATCTTCTCCTATTTGTGTAGGCTTTTGTGCCATCGTACATATTCCCTTCTAAAAAAGACGCTCCATCAATTACCGAAGATGGCGGCGTTGTGAACACTGCTGTCCACGACTGCCTAGTTCTTTTTTTTTTTTTTAGTCGTTGGTGGTTTGCTTGGTTGCCTGGTGGATCTTGTGGTTGGGATGTGCTTAGATGGTGTTTTGTGTGGTAATAGTGACGATTTTGTGGTGGTGGCTGAGGTGGTGAATCTGTCAGTTTGGGATGTTGAATCGCCTTACATAATGGTGTCACCATCGGAAGAGACCTGTCGTAAGGTTGTGGTTGTTTTTGTTGTTGGCAGTAGTTGTGGTGATATTGTACAGGCGGCAACTGTGTGGCAATGGTTGTTTTTTGTTATTGGCAGTGGTGTGGTGGTATTGTGGCGGGAACATGGTGGGATAGTGATTGTGACCAACTATTTGGTTGATTTGTGACCAAGAGTTGGTGGTGGATCGGGATCAATGGTGGGGTGTTTGGTGTATGTGACCAACAATTTGGTTCTTTGCAACTAGCTATTAAATTATGACCTTAAAATTCAATAATGTGTGACCGATAAATTTGAAAATTTGTGACCGATAATAAAATGTGAAATGTAATTTTTTTGATCTGTGACCAATGAAATAAAACGTAGGCTAAAAAATTTTTGATTTGTGACCTCAAAATAATCTGTAACCTACAAAAAAATTTATTTGTGACCTCGAAATAATCTGTGACCAATTAATTTGACAATATGTGACCAGTAAAAAAGTTGTGACCATTAATTATATTTTTGTGACCTTATTAAATTTAATTAATAAATATTTTTAATTAATTAGCTAATACCAGAGTTTTGCATTTTGAAACTTGACACCTAAAAATTAATTTTGTCATACTTAAACCTTGATTTTTTGAATTTTTCCTATATGTAAATGACGAGTGTGTTCTAAGGCCATGTTTGTCACCCATTATTTGAAAACTAAAGTGTTTTAAAAATTATTTTTTGGAGAATGTGTGGTCAATAAGTAACGAAACTTTATTAGTTTGTGTGTAAAATATTTTATTATATGAATGTGTGGTGAATAATAATACTGTAGCAAATAATTTAAAATCTAAAGGTCAAACAGGGACTATATGAAATGCCCAAATCTAATTATTTAATTTTAAACTTAAAAGAAAAAAAAATCAACTTGAAGTCAGTGGATCACATAATCCACCAAGATCCACTGTGGATCCGCCACTACAAATAGAGCCGGCCCTGGTGTAAGGCCAGCTAGGCCATGGCCTAAGGCCTCTAATTTTTTGGGGGCCTCATAAGAAAAATTCAGCCCACATCTATTTACATCCAACACCAAAATCTAAAAAGAAATTCATGGATTTTAGCTAGAGAACCGTAACCACCAAAGAATTCCAAGAAAGAAGAGACCATTGCGACACCAGAGTATGCCAAGAAGGAAGAAAATTGAGACTCCAAAGTATGCCAAGAAGGAAGAAAATTGAGACTCCAAGGGATTGCTTGGCTATGGTTTCTAAGCAATTTTCTTTGTCTTTATTTGAGCCCAAGAGATTGTTTGGTTGTTCATGTACTCGATCTTGAAGATTGAAGACATAGTAGAGACTATTTATAAGGTGGACTTTCATATGTAGAATTTTTAATCGAAATCTCGATTTTTCTTTTAATTTTTTTGAATTCTTGCCCTTGATTCTTTGTTCTTGATTCTTGAAAAGATATTCTTTTTGTTGAGTTTATTTATTTATTTATTTATTTTTTTAACTTCACTATAGTTTAGAGCATCTTTGGTTTAGTTTTTTAACTTGCTTATTTTGTTAAAGAAAGCTACTTTTTTACTAGCAAATCTTACTTATTCAAAAAGTAATTTGCTAGTGAAACTATTGTGGTAAAGACATATCTTAAGTATAGTTGAAATAGGCTGCCCATTAACTAAGTCGAGAAGCAAAATTGGTACAAAAATCAATATTTAATCGTGTAATTAAAATACGTTTCATATTTTTACTTATTATTTATTTATTGGCTTAAATTACTAAATTGAAACTATTGTATTTTTTATTATTTGATAATGGATTATTTTACTCGTGACATGGGATTTGAGGATGCTTCATTTGGTGGTTTACTATGCTATATTTAGTGTTCATCTTTATTTAATTCCGCAATAGATTATATATTATAGAATACAAATATGTTAACTTCTCTCAGTCAAAATTGTGCCTAAAACTACATATATGAAGCCCTGCCTGACTGGTGTATTCTAATTGAAACGAATAATTTAGACAAACTGTTTGATTAACTAGGTTTTAGTATTTACAAATCAAAGGTTCCTTTTCAGTTATTAACAAATGGTATCAACCTGCTCATGTGACGTATTCTTAGGGATGTCAATTTAACTCGTCAGCTCGAGCCAACTGTGGCTTGATTCGGAAAAAGCCCGAGCCAGCAAGGCTCAGTAGAATCGAGCCAAGACTCGGGTCGAGCCCCATTTTCGGGGCATATGCCCAAGCCCGAGCCAACACGTGTAGCTCGTCGGCTCGGGCTCAAGGGTCTTCTTAAAAAAAGAAAAAAAGAAACAAAAGGCAGCCAGTTGCTGCCCTTTAGAAGGTAGCACTTGACTGCTTTAAAAGACAGCACAAAGCCACTACCCTTTAAAAGGAAGCACTCGACTGCCTTAAAAGGCCACAGCTTAAAAAAAAAAAAAAAAAAAAAGCTTGTCCAGTTAGGCTTGGAAAGGCTCTAGCAGAAAGTTTGGGTTGAGCCTAGATTTTTTGGCCGAACAAAAGCTTGGCTATGCTCGAGCTCGAAAAAACCTAGCACCATTTTATTCAAGCAGAGCCCAAGCCTCGAGTTTCGGCTCACGAGCCAACTCGGCTCGATTCGTTGATATTGTTGTGTATTCTCTTCCCTTTCGTAAGTATTGATTGGTACTCTTATTGAAAAAAAAAATTAAGTTTAAGGGCCTCATCTTTAATTAGTCGCCTAGGGCTTTAAATTCTTGGGGTTGCTTACTACAAATGACTAAATATGTAGGAAAAGTACTCAGAAGACCAATTTGAAATTTTGCATGTACTTATGTGACTATTGGTAAAATTAACTCTTAACTTCACAGATGGTCAATGAAGTTCAAGTGAAATTTTATATTGCTGATTAAAGTAATTTCGTGACTTGTTTAGTCGCTAGTATTAAATAATATCACATAATTGGTCGCTTTTTTAGTGATATTATTCAAGATTCAAAGTCAGCATGTTAAATCTTGACATCAATTAACGATCATCGTGTTCATATCGTGAAATTATGAATCTTCCAAATAAATCCTAGAGAGAGAGAGACAAAAAAAAAAAAAAAAAAACTCACATTTAGTGAAAATGAAAAAAATTGAAAATGCTTCTTTTATCCATAATCCTAATTTTCACCATTAATAAACACTAAAGAAGTAGGACTAGAGAGAAACACGAGGTCAAGTGGAAGGAATTGGTAGCTTCAACGACTTAAGTCAACATGAAAATTTAACAGCTACTACGCAAATATGATGTTAATCAAGTTCAAGGAGTAATGAGTCACAGAAATCCTTTAATGACCAATTTGAGATTTTGCTTTAATTATGATGATCATTAGTGAAATTAATTCAGCTCCCGTTTGGCCCCCATTTTTCGGTAATTAAAATGGAAAGAGTAGTTTTTTTTTTTTTAAAAATAAGTGGTTGAAAAAAAAAGGAAAAATTTTCGATTTACGTGTAATATTATTTTATAAAAGATTATTTGGTTGAAAATAGAAGAGAGAAAAATAGAATGTAATAGAGTGTAATTTAATGGAGTTCAAACGGGGGCTCAGTAAACATTTGCATGACAACAAAAAACTTTGTCACTGGTGAAATCTCTCAATGACTTTTTATAGTATAATTCAGACATGAAAAATTTTATAGTACTTCCCTAGTATGGAATCTTCAAGATTCATTGAAAAACCCA